CTTTCTCACCTTAACAAAGAACCCTTTTTATATTTTGATGACTTCACTGAGGTTTATATAACTTGGACAAGCATATTCATATTAAGAACTCATTGATTGGAATATGGTAGCTGCCAAAGCAACTTTTTTCATATTCTTAAAAATGAAAATTGTTAAAATTAGTAGGTTGATGTTTTTCACCCTATTATGTGTTAGAACCAAACCAAAATTCTTTTAAAGATTTAATCATGCCTTTCAATAGTGTTTTGTCTTACTCAAATTAATGAATAAATTAATTGCAATATAGTAGAATCTTGTATAAGATATCAAAAGTATTAAAATCTGTTAAGCATAAAAACTAATGAAATTGAAAGAATAAAAATTGAAGATTTTGAGCTTTTATTAAAAATCTTTTCAAATAAGGAAAATAAATATTTGTTATTAAAGAAATTGATTCTTTTGATCCTATAAATATAAAAATTATATTAAGAAAGCTTTCAATTCAAAGTGAAAGTCTAGTTTCTCTTAAATTTTTTTTTTTTGATATTTTACACAAGTATTCATTTTTTTTTTTTACTTTTTGTTCTATCTTCATTTGTTTATTCAAATTTTTTTTTACATTGCGACAAATCTTTGGCTTGCCCATTCCAAGCAAATGGTTGAGCTATGGAAGTCATGTGACACCATTAGTCTCATCATATCAATTGAATAAAAAAATGTTTGTGATATTCTAATATGTATGCCATCAAAACTTCTATGTGTATAATAAAAAAATTTGATGGATAGTTTTAGCTTTAATAATAGTTTTGATATATAGTCATTAGATAACAAAGAATAGTTTTAATAGTAAACTTTAAAGTTTGACACTATTATTTATTGGAAAATATAAAACAAGTAAAAAATAGTATTTATTAACATATTGGTAGGATAAGATTTTATATTTCAATTTTTTTTGTTATATTGTTTTATGTGATATATGTGAATTATTATAGAAAAGAGAAAGAATTGATTAGTCTAATGAGTATGTTTTATATGATGTATTAACTATATGTATGAATAATTTCTTAATAAGTTATTCTTTGTTTAAGACTTCTAGCAAATTTCTTTTCTTTCATTATTTTATCTTTTTTAGGGTATTTGATTTTTTATTTTTTTTAAAATAAATAAAAAAATTATTGTGTTTAAGAAAAACTTATATGAATTGTATTATCAATTTCTTAAAGGTATTCTTCAATCTCAATGCCAAAAGTTAATGATGGCTAGCTTCCTACACTACTCGAGCTCCTATGAAGAAGAAAAAAAATAGTATTCCAAAAGATGCTATTCCAAAAGCACATCTTGAAAAGAAAGTATATATTCGCGTTAGAAAAAGTTGTGTACTTCCTTTTGTTCCAGAAAATTGGTCAAATAAAATCATTAGAAAGGAGAAAAAGATCATTTTTGGGAACAAGTGCATGAGAGAAAGATTTCTTCTTATCAAAGTCCTCATGTTGGCTATTCTTAGTAGAGTATTGGTTTTGAAACATCGATTTATAAAGTTTATATTCCAAGCTCCTCTATTCTAAAGTTTAAGTTTGAGCATAGAGAGTTTCCACTTTTGATTAGTAAGTTTGGATCAAATTCACAACTTGCTCAAGGTTGGGAAGATTGGGTGAACAAAATAATTGAAAAGCCTATTTATGCAAAAGTTTTGTCTTCAATAAGGGTGCTTGATACTGTACGAGTTACCTCCAAACTTTATATTCATAGAGAAGGTTAAATGAATGTATGGCGTGCTATTCTTACCAAATGGAATACTTTTTCTCATACTATGATCATTAAAACGTCACATCATTCTTAAAAACTTTTCTTTATTTTCTTGTAAAAAGAAGTTATAAAAGAAATAATTACATACTTTACTTTTTTTTTTGTTACTAAAAAGAATTATATATATTACTCCTCCTTATTTTTGTTACGTGAAAAATAATTTTATTGTTAAGCATTGAATAGAATTATATATATTACTCCTCCTTATTTTTGTTACATGAAAAATAATTTTATTGTTAAGCATTGAATTTGTGCATATTCTTGTTTAAAGGAAATAATCTCATTAGTTGTTTCATTGAATTTAAAAAATATATATATATATTCTTTTTTATTATTCCATTCAACTATTTCCCTATTTTTTTAGAGATCACCCCATTACTTATTCCTTTTAATAATTTTTTTATTTTTTAAGGAAATACTCCAATTACCTATTCTTTTTAATAATTTTTCTATTTTTTAAGGAAACACTTCCTTACATATTCCTTTTAATAGTTTTCTTTTTTTTAGGAAAATACTACCATTACCTATTCTTTTTAATTTTTTCAATATTTTAAAGAAACATTCTCATTATTTGTTCATCTATTTTTTTAGGAAACATTTTTATTACTTATTCTTCTTCTTCTTTTTAAATAAACACTTCCATTACTTGTTCTCTTATTTTTCTAAGAAAACACGTTCATTACTTGTTCTATGCATTTAAAAGTTTTAACAACTTTTAAAAATTTATCATTCTATGCATGAAACATTCTTTGATTTACATCAAACAATTTTCATGCAAGGGGTAAAGAATTCGTAGATATATAGTAAAAAAAATTAAAATATATATTTTTTATTTTCATATATATATTTTATTTTTACCCTTTCATTGTATAGCGCATAGAACTTCTTATACTAAGAATTCTCATGCAAAGGGTAAAATGTAGATGTTTGATTTTGATTACTATTATTTTATTTTTTAAAATTTCTCTAAAATTGTTAAAATTGAGGATAAGTTAAAATAGGTGATAAAACTATTTTAGTAAAGATTATTTTATGAAACAGCTATTCATGAAACAACTTTTTTTACAGAATAGCTATTTATAAAATAACTATTTAAGAAACAACTTTTTTCGTAGAACAACACCTACACGCAGTAATTGTTTTCGGAACAACTTCCTTAAGGAATAAAACCAATACCTTTACCAAAAAACTCTTGAAATATAAGTTACTTCACTAAGAGTTATTCCATAAAAGATGCTTCACCAAATATTATTTTAATGAAAGAATAGGTGAAAATAACCGGAATATGACAGGGTTCTTGAGTTAATTTCACTATTGAGATGTTCCGAAGAGTTTGGCTTAGTAAATTAGATATAGAGATAATTAAGAGGTTTTCTTTTAACCTTTTCCATAAATATGAGTACTTCTTTTACTTTAAAACAAATAATGAACTTTTATATCACTATACCTATTACCAAAAACACTAATTAAACTTTTATTAAATAATACCTTTATACTTTTTGTAATAGTCAATTCTCTCACTTCTCATCATTATTCTTATTCAATACTCAAGATATGTAACTTATATTCTTGAAACTTATAAGTAAAAGTTTTCATAATTTATGGGAGACTTTCGGACTGGCAAATTTCTCATAACTTTCTCTCAAGCTTTCTCTCTACAATCTTCTTTTCCTAAATTCTTTTTCTTAGACTTATTCTCTTTCTTACTTAACCTTGCTTCACCATCCATTACCACCTGTTTCTACACTTAATGCTTTAGTATCTGTTCCAATCTTCTCCTTTGTCATCTACGGATAGATCCTATTTCATTTATTTGCAACGTTTTCTCATCTTAACAAAGAACCCGTTTATAGGAGGTTAGCTACCAAAGAATTACAACGTACTATTTCCTTAGATCATTTTTTGACCATTGTGCGATTTCAGAAGTGGTGCAATCTTTACTGTAAACACCCTATTTAGTTCGAACTCAAGCCCATTGGACCCAGTTTAAGATCCAACTAGCAAGCCCAATTAACTTTTATTTTTATTTTTTTATTTTTCTTTGATTTTTTTAGTTGGTTTATCTGTTTTATTAGATTTATCATTAGTTTAACAAGATTTAGTGATAAAAAATAAAAAAATTATATCTTTAGTCCTAAATTGGAGGTTGTAGAGTTCCTATAGGTTTTAATATGAGGTAGGATGAGTCTTAAGTTTTGGGATAACCCAGTTGAATGAAGACTTTGATCTGGTCCTATAAACAACAACAAAGCTACGAAAACGGGGGAGGGGAGAAAAAATAGAAGTAAAACAAATGGGGAAACCCCCATCGCCACTAGGCCATCAAAGCCTCTCTTTGGTGGGAAACCTTCCCTTCTTTGACCCTGACCTTCACTCTTATTGGGCTGTATTAGCTTGTACCAACAAGCCAGTTAAGAAACTCTAACTTGAGAGCACATATTAGGTGATACGAAAGGTAGCTACTGATGCTTTGAGTGCTTTGGCACTGCATTCAAGCAACTTGATTGCAGATAGAGCAAATTGAGGGTGGATCTCCCTCTTATCTACCTAGTTAATTGATGATTCAGCAATTGAAATGAAATGTTGATGAAGCTTTGGTAGTAAGCAAATTTAGGCTTGAATCTTGATGTAATGGTCACCCAAAGACTGGCAGAAACAGCAGGCCATTTTGTTTCATAATATCATTGAAATTAATGAATGCATCCAGGAATCCTCCATGAAAAAAAAAAAGGGAAATCAACCAACAGAAAACAACAAAGCTTATTTTCATCTATCCTCAATGGAGAACGCTTACGCCAGATCTATTTCAGAGGTTCTGGATTTCCTTAGAGCAGACTCGACAAAAGGTCTCAATTAATTTTTTGCTAGTGCTGAACTTTTAACTGCATCGAACATTTTTGCAAAAGTTGGATTTGGTTCTGGATTTTTTTGGGGTAGACTTGATAATAGGTCTCATTGATTCTTAGGAGTGATTACGGAAACAAATGCTGAAAAGGCTCTTAAGGAGCTATGTGCCTACCAAGCTGATATTGTAATTGTACTGCGCAATGGTTATTTTTCAATACTTCTTGCACCTGAGCTAGTTCTAGGAGACATAGCAGAAGTCAGTGTGGGAAGCAAAATTTCAGCTGCTATGAGAATGATCTGATGTTGCTTTTGGAAAAACCAAAATCGAGGCACAAATACTTTTTAAAAGGATCGCACATTCAGTAAATATGGCTAATGGCATGGTTTTAAAGTTACTTTCTGCATTTTCTTTAGCTTATTCTGCTAACCCGAAATTTAAATTTTTAGGGCCTCAATTGCTTACTAGATTTGCCATTTCGTTGGCCTCAGTTGTGCAAGCTAGAAATAATGCTCAAATCATGATCACTAGCTCCTTAGATGTGTTCAGTAACCAGCTGTTTATAACTACTATGCATAAAATTGAGAGACCATTTAAATTTGAAAATCAGGTAATGAGCAGTTTGTGATAGAAATTAGCAAATAAGTCTTCCATGAAAAGGGGCCTAGGCGTTGCATGGACAGTTATCAAGCCAGACGCTATTGCTGGTGATGTTGGTTTTTGGGATCGCGTTACCTTTTCTTTTCGTTAGAATTACCTTTTTGGTTTTTGAATCTACTTTTTTATCTTCTTGTTCTTCTCTTATCGAATGCATGGGATGGAGAATTTTCAGCGGGGCTGACACATCTCAGGAATTTAAAATTACAGGAATTAACTCGTGACTTTTTTTTCACCTGTTAGTACGATACACTACCTGTGCCAAGATTTCAATGCTAGTGTTTAGCAATGATTGAGTGGATCTTGTTTGCTTAGATGGAAGTGGGGAAAAAGTGGAAGGAAGTGACGAAATATGATGAAGTTCTACATATCAATAACAAGGATAAAGAGGGTTAAGATATCCAACTCGAGCGGAGGAGAAAGTAGTAAGAGATCGACAGTAGCTACACAGAGGAGCCCTTTGAATCATTGAAAGGACAATTAGAGCTTATTTACGGTCAGATGATACTTATCTTAACAAAGTCGATAAATAAGCACTTTGAGAAGAATCTTAAGTTTGATATGGCACCTTTGCTTGGAGGAACATATGTTGTTTTCTCTTCCCTCATCCACTCCTTTAGTTACATGAGGCCAGAACGAAAGAGTCAAAAAAGCAATGGCCGTGGAGTTCACGATGATGAAGCCATAGCTGATGGTGGAAGCACCAAAAGTAGTTGATGTAGTGCAATCACTTTTTGAGTCATTCCAGCCTTTCTACATCTGAAGTCGAGCCACGCCAACTCTTCAGTCGAATTGTTTTTCATTTTTTTTTTGTGTTTTTATTTATTTTTAAGAGTATTTTTGCATGAATGAAGTTTTAAAATATATAAAAATATAAAATAAAAAATATAAAATAAAAAATATTTTTGAGAAAAAGTTGAAAGTATCAATTTTTCTTGAAAATAAGCTTTCTAAAAAATATTTTTGAGAAAAAGTTGAAAGTATCAATTTTCCTTGAAAATAAGCTTTCAAAAAAAAATATTTTTAGGAAAAAGTTGAAAGTATCAATTTTTCTTGAAATTAAAGTAAAAACAAAACATTTTTGGGGAAAAGTTGAAAGTATCAATTTTTCTAGCACAAAAGCAATTATTTTTTTTCTTTTCTTTGTATTTTCTTGAATTTTCTTTAATGTTAAATAATCTAACGATGGTGCCTCTGCAAGTGAAATAGTAGTTTTCTTGCATACTCTTGAGGTGAGGGGATTTTTTCAATTTTTGCTAAAAGTATTAGAGTCAATTGAGAATAATTTCCAATAACTAATTACTTGATAAATTTTTAAGGCTTATTGGATAACACAAAATTAAGTTAGTTCCATCATTCGATGGACGTTGTGAGGGTGCTATAACCTTCCTCACACGTAACCAAACTCTCGAACTCTGTTTTGGTTAGTAGACCCGAACCTATTCTTTTAGGGACCCTTAAACTTAGTTGTTCCTTGTAATGATAGATTCCTTAGGTGGCCAATCGTACCTAGATAAAAAAGATTAGTGGTGACTCCTTTAAGTCAATGTCTAGCGATAGATCCCTGGATCTAGACGTCATGACAGCTTGGTGACTCTACTGGGGAGTCTGAGAGTCAAGCCAGCAAATAAATTTGTGTTATGCAAAAGCCTAATAAAATTGAACCTTTTTGTATATATATATTATTATTCATTCATGTTTATTTACTTTATTAATTATGTCATTCATATGCATATGCATAATATGAGCTCTACACCCGAGGTCCGTCCCTCTAGGAAGGAGTAAAGTACCTATTGCTTTCGTGAGGTTTAATGCCTCCGCAGTGACTAACGAAATACTCTCACTCAAATTGAATATTTTTCGCTTGTAACCTATAATGGGTAAGGATTGGGGTGCCTTACTAGTTTGTGACGGACAATGATGTAAGAAGTAATTTGGAAACCTTTAGACTTTAGCCTTGAACTACATATAAGTGAACCTTAGAAGTGCCTAACCCTAAAATAGAGCCCTTTTTACCCAATAATAGATATACCCTGAAACTATGACACAAAAAAGGTGTTTATCTAGTCATTCTGATTGTCTAACTTTGTGCGTCATCTTCATTATCATATGTAACATTATACATCGGCATCACTTTCAGTTCATCTGTGAAACTAACTATATTGTTTGTCAGATTTTGTTTATCTATATTATTTTCATGATCAAGTTTTAACATCCATTTCATATTAGATTTCATCTATGAAAATGTATATTTCATTCGTGCATCAATGTATCATACATAAAGCATAGCATAGCACTTCTAATCATAATTGTGGTGCTAAAAGTTCAAGGATAGCTCCATCTAACGAGAATCCTATCCATCAATACAACACAAGATTCAGAGCCAGACAAATAGAGCAGAAAAACTCTCACAGATTTAAAAAGTTAGAAAAAGCACAGGAAAAGATTGAGAATGAGTTAAGTAAAATTTTGGATGCTCTCAACAAATTAAATAAGGAGAAAAGAGTAGAAGAGAACACAAGCCAACAAGGCCCTATATCGTAAGAAATGACTGACCCTCCTATATCCACCTGGTTTTGATCCACCTCAAGCCTAGTCTACACAAGAGGTTTCATCACAACACTTCACATATCCTACATATCTTGAAATGCCATCAACTTTTAATCCAGGGCATTACCATAGCTATGTGAATCCTGTCTTTACTGAAAAGGTAGTTGAACCAATTCAAATCCCTGATCTGGATGAACTGAAGGGAAAAGACAAGGAAAAGATAAAAATGAAAACTAAAAAAAAATTCCAAAATTAGTATGCTAGAACAAAGGCTACGGGTTGTGGAAGGAATTGGTTTTTATGGTTCAGTTGATGCTACCAGGCTTTGCTTAGTCCCTGATGTGGTTATTCCTCCTAAGTTCAAAGTATCAAAATTTAAAAAATATGATGACATAAAGTGCCCAAAAACTCATATTACCATGTATTGTCGAAAGATGGCAGCCCATGCTCATGATGAAAAGCTACTAATGCATGTTTTCTAAGACAGTCTTACTGGTTCTGCTGTTAGGTGGTATATCCAGTTAGATAGAACTCGCATCCATTCTTAGAGTGATATGGCCCATGATTTTATCAGTCAATATCGACATATTATAGATTTGGCCCCTAATCGTTTGTCTTTACAAAACTTGGAGAAAAAGGCTAATGAGACTTTTAAAGAGTATGTCCAAAGGTGGAGAAATATTGCTTCTCAAGTACAGCCTCCTCTGACTGAGTAAGAAACTACAATGTTGTTTGTCAGTACTTTAAAATTTTCCTATTATGAAAAGATGATAGGGAATGCAATAAAAAATTTCACTTACATGGTGATTTTAGGCGAAATCATTGAGAATGCCATTAAAAATGACGAGCTGAAAGAAAGAGAAACCAAGAAGGTACCCAAGAAGAAAGAGGCTAAAACTCAAGTTGTAGGCTTTGACAGATAGTTTAGGGGATATCAATCTTATCCACCATCAGATTACTCTCCATACTATCCTACTGTGAACAATACTTCATCTTATCCATACCAACCAGCCTCACAACCACCTAATTCATCCATATACCAGCCCATTTTTATCCTTCAAGCTCCCATATATAGCCTTAACAATCAAACTCCTGCAAGACCCTAAATTCATCTTATTAGCCTGAAAATTGGTTCACGAGAGCAATGAACTATTTGAAAAAACTTGTATCTGATCCAATCCTCATGACTTATATGGAGTTATACCAAGAGCTCTATAATAGCCACTTGATTGCCCCTAAGTCGTGTGTACCCACTCAAATCACCTTATCCTAAGTGGTATGATCTTACAGTTCACTGTGACTATCACTATAGAATTACTGGCCATTGCACTGAAAATTATACTACTCTAAAGCATGATGTGCAACGGTTAATCAAGGATGGAATTATAAGTTTTGATCAAAGAAGAGCAACAGGGGAATACGAGTACAGAGATTAGGGAAAAATCATAGAAGAAAAGAAAGAAGCTGATTAGACACTGGTTTAAGGATAGGAGTGAAACTAAAAAAAAGAGGCAAACTGATTTAATATGGTGGTCCAAATTTTGAGTCGAATGTTACTCATCGACAGTGAGTGGAGAGACCCTATTCTCAAGAAGCGAATTTCAATTATCTATCTTATAATTGAATAGAACATCGATCATATTCCAGCAGCTACAGCTGAAGATGTAGAGCTTGCGATGGCTGCTACTCAGAGAGCTCTTTCTAAAAAAAAGGCAAAGATTGGGTTTCAGCTTCTGGCACTGTTCGTGCCAAGTATTTACGGGCCATCGTTTTTAAGATAACAGAGAGAAAATTTGAATTAGCAAAGCTTGAGCAATTGATTACGAGAAACCACTTGATGAAGCAACTTGAGACATTGATGATGTTGTTGGATGTTTTGAGTACTATACGTACCTTATTAAAGGTTTAGATGCGAAGCAAAATGTTGTTATTTCTCTTCCTATTGAGACATTTAAGAGTTATATGCTTAAGAAACCACATGGGCTCGTTGGATTGATTATTCTATGAAATTATCCATTGTTGATGGCCACCTGAAAAGTAGCTCTTGCTTTGGCTGTAGATTATGCTACAATACTAAAACCTTTCAAGTTGGTATCTATCACCTATTTGAAGCTGGCTGACGTGTATAGAAAGGTTGGTTTTCCTTCAAGTGTCTTGAACATTATGATTGGATCGGGCCTGAAAGTTACGATTCCTTTGGCATCTCATATAAATGTTAACAAGATTGCCTTTACTAGAAGCACTATAACAGGGAGCATGATAATGGAAGCAGCAGCTCAAATGGTCAAGCCTGTATTTTTAGAACTCAACAGGAAAAGCCCAATTATTTTGTTTGAGGATCAAGAATATGAAGAGTCGCAATGAATCAATGGGGTGAGATAAAAATTCTTCACCTGATTGCACATGGGCATGGTTTTAAAGGGGATGTTAAAACCGGTTGAATGCTACTTGTCATTCTAAGAGTTCTTTTAAAGTAATGTTAAGATTTTTTTTTTTTGCAATATGATTTCACTTGTTATCATCTTAATAAAGGCAAGTTAATGCATTTCATTACATTTTCTCTTTCACTCGACCATTATTCCATGCCCTATTATCTTTTATAACTTTACATTCTCATTTTTAAATTTCAGATGATGAATATTTAGACAATGATAACAATAATTCTGAGATTTAATTTTGAGAACTCATCCACATTAATATAAGGAGATCATTTGAGCAAAAAAGTAAGCTGTTATCAGAGGTGAAATAGATATGTCTTAAAGATGTGTAATCTTTTATACAGGTTTATGAGCTTTGTTAATAGATGATGTTCAAGAAAAGTATTCACAATTGAGATGAAAAATGAC